TTGACAGGTACAGAATTTGATAGGACACTCCCAATTTTGACCATTTGTTGTCTGTTTGCCAGGAATGCTTCTATCCAGTTATGCAGTTGTCCAGAGATACCATAGGATTTTATTTTTAGGAGTAGTTTGTCGTGTACCACTGAATCAAAGGCTTTACAGAAGTCTATGTAGATTGCGTCTATTGCTTTGCCCTGATCGAGTTGTGTCGTCCATATGTTTTTGCAGTGTAAGAGTTGCAGGTTACAGGATAGTTTTTTTCTGAAACCAAATTGTTTATTGGAAAGTAGGTTGTTAGTCTCTAAGTGGAGGATGATGGATTGGTTAATAATTGATTCCATGACTTTACAGGTGACGCAGCATAAGGAGATTGGTCTGTAATTTTCAACTAGGCTGGGGTCTCCCTTTTTGAAGATGGGGATGACCGCGGCTTGTGACCATAGGTTAGGCAAGGAGCTGGTCCTGAAAGATTTTTCAAAGATTATGCTTAGAGGTTTGGCTATGGCAGTGGATAGCTTTTTTAAGAAGTAGGCACATATTCCATCCGGTCCAATAGATAGAGATGGTTTTAGATTGCGTAGTGCTTTTTCAACATTGTCTTCTGTAAAATCGATATGTATTAGATCATTATAGTTATCTGTGGTTCGACTAGGAAATACTGGGCATGATCCATTGCTGTTTACAAATACTGAGCCGAAGAATGTGTTAAAGATGTTGGCTTTAATGGTGTCATCGTTCAAACTAAAAGATCTGAAGATCCCAAAATTTTGTTTTTATTTTCTTTGTGACTTGCTGCTCAAGGGCAATTCTGACTAGATGGCTATTTCGGAGAAGATTCACTATTGTCCCAAGTATTTTAATTTCAAGATGAAGGCTTCTGACAGATTAATAAACCCCCCAGAAATTATAACTCTCCACATTAAACAGATTTAATGACTTTTTTGACTAAGAATACCTACATCTTTATTATTTTGATTGAAGAAAAAAAATCAAGAGAAAGCAGAAGAAAAGAAGAAAAAAAAGAAAAGAAAAGAAAGAAGAGATGTTAGGTTGTTATCCCTATTTTTAATACTATTTAGTCATCAGTAGGTCTAAAGATGCAAAGAGCTGGTGATGTTGAGGCTGTATCTCCCAAATAAGCAAATGGTATCTAAATGTGGGAACCTTAGTACACTCTGAGCTTGATTGTTTTCTTGCAGACATTTTATTACCAAACCAGATAACGTCATCAGTGATTTATGTACTAGTGGCTTGCTCTCGCAGTGTTGGTAGAAATATCTTAGTGGTTCCTTTATTGGACTGTTGTTTACTATTAGTTTGCTTGTCTGAATTGATGATTCCTTGATTGCAATATTGTTGGCACATTGTTATTTTAAGTGCCTGTTGATGATCAATTTATCTTAGTTCTAGGTATCTGGAAATTCTCTAGGGCTTTTGGACTTTGCTTGATCTAGGATGCTCGGTTTCTTTGTTGAAAATGTGGTTAAGTCTATCTATATAAGATGAGCTTTCTTCAGTCTTTAAATAAGTTTCTATAGAGTAGTTAAAGTTCATAATTTAAAGTTAATAATTTGGTCTATAAGTGTTGTATTTTCTTTTTCAGAATGCCAATGCAAAAGTATGCATTATGCATGGTCATTAAGCAAACATTTCTCTTTCTGAGTTGTTCTTATGGACAGACAGTCCAATTAAAATAAAACTTTGCTACTCTGTTTCTTAAACTTTTCAGGCACTTTGCCTAACACATTAAAGTTATGTTGCTATGCTACTGAACTGTTAAATGTCAAATTATTCACTGTGCAATTATATGTATTAGGAAAAAGCATCTAACCAATAATCAAAGTAGTATGTTTGCAATTAAGCTATTTATGGCAGCTTTGAAATAAAGCCATAGCTTCAGTTTTGTTTATAAAGGCACATCAGCTTCTGAGTACAAAAAGTGTGCTTAACTGTTGTTTTATCCTATGTTGAATAATAAAGAAACAAAAAACTTAGCAGATATAAAATTATGTACCTTATGGCAGAAAATGGAGCATTTCACTGAATAGAAATGTGCACAAAGTTATGTTTGTTTCCACCAAAAATAAACATTTAAGTTGTTCTGGATTTTGGTAAAACAAAACCTGAAGAAATTCTAGCTTGTTTTCATGGGGTAAGTAGAATAAGGCTGATAAGCATAGCTCACAGGGTTTCCCCTTCGTCTACTGTTGATCTGTTTGTACCAGCTTCCCAGCATTTTTGGTGCCTTATTTCTACAATCATGCCTATTCTTCAGGGAATCATATTCCACCTTTCCCCCATTTTCCAATTGTTTCATTACTTGTCCAACTCCACCATTTCAGCCTGAAATAATCATATTGCCACACTTGGAAAAACTCTGAAGCGTGCTAAGAGGCGAGGGAGCAAAAATGGCTTTAAGTTAGACAAAATGAGTTCATTTTGTATGCAATTCTAATTAATCCTTATATAATTAAAAATTGCTGCAGAGAAAAAAAACTTCCAGGCTTAAACTGTAAGGGTTACTTTATAAAATAATAGAATTAACATGAAATGTTATTATCAATTGAAACATTTACTAAAAGCTACTTGTGGAACATAAATAGCATTTAGTATGTGTAACTAAATGATTTTACAGCACAAGATTAAACCCTTGTTGCCAAAAAAAGTATCCATTGTTAGACAAACTCTATAAAGATCACCAATGTTTCATCAGACTTTAGCACAATCAGTTATGAGACTTATAGTAGTTTACATCTTACTATCTTCTCATTTATAAATTAGAATCTGACTGCACTAGTTACATATCAGAAGTTTTACAAATAATACACTGTCTAACATAACATTACTATTTTAATTTTAGATAATGCAAAATGTTTGGGTCTTGCTTTAAAAGGAAATCTTAAAAGTCTAACACTACCAAATAAATGGTAAAGAAATGGTTGTATTCATTTTACTTTTGAATGCTTTCATCCTTTTGTAAACAAGTAGAAATTAACCTATAAGTATTGCTTCTAATTAGAGAAAAAGACCTAGAGTGTTATCAGAATTTCAGAGAAAACAATGAAGCTGAATCCTCATAAAATTATTCTCATAATGCACATTGATTTTATGACATCTGACACATACTGATTCACTATCATAGACTGTTCATTGGACAGTTGTGCAAATTCTGATTTACAAGGACAATATAGTTGGATGGAAATTAGAAAAAAACTATGAAGCCAATTGAATAGGCTATGCATATTACAAGCAGGAACTGATATATTATTAATATCAAATTCAAAGATTCAAAAAAACATATATACTTGGTATAAGAAATATTACCCAGGAAGCCAACTGCTGACTCTATAAACCAGGGGTCCCCAACTGCCGGTCCGCGGACCGGTACCGGGCCACGGAACAAGCCTTACCGGGCCGCTGGTTGCTGGGCGCCGCCATCTTTTTTTTGGAAAGCTCACCGGAAGCGCCTTTTCGTCATAAAAAGATGGCGGCGCCCAGTTGACGCCGGTACCGGGCCGCGGCGCCCAGCTGATGCCGGAACCGGGCCGCGGCGTCGTAAAGGTTGGGGATCCCTGCTATAAACCTTAAAATTTAATTGTCTACATATTAAATTGATCTTCAAACAAGAGCATACAAGCATACAGGTTATGCTGTCATAATCCTTTTTTATTCACATTAAGGCCTGTTTATGTGTATGTCACTTTAATTGATTTACTGTTGTTGCTTGAATAAATGTAAAAGGAATAAATTTTTCAAAACAAGTTCTAAACATGTACAAATCCAAGTCTCAGTCAAAATAGGAATGCATCAGAACTCAGAGTGGTGCATGGTTGCTCATCCTAGACCATGGATTTCACTGGCATCCTTTTCAACCCTTTTTTCATCATACTCCAACATGGTCACTTACCTCTTTGTCAAAGTTTGCTTTGGTGAATTCCAAAGAGTTCAAGAGTGCATTTGTAGCCGCTAATTTCACATTATTACTTGGCTCTTCTTTCCTCATGCCCTGGATGATAGCAGTCAAAATTTCATTGGATTTATCCTGAAGCTGTTCTGGATCCTGAAAAAGAAAGAATATTGTAAACTATGCTTGTATTGCTATACAACCAGCTAAAACGATAACATACCATATTGTCTAAATTGAGATGTCTAAATTGAGATGCCCAGGTATTTCCAAGTTAGAATGGAGGCCACACTTCACATTAGTCACCAAGTACTTTACTTTCTGGAGATTTGCACCTTATTCAGACACAAAAAGATGAATTATAGGGCTAACTTAAATTGAATCCTCTGATCTAGCCTCCAGCAAAGAGGCAGCTAAATGGAACCTGCCAATGTCCCACTGAATCTTTAAATCTGCCCCATAAGTAGCTGCACAATTAATGAAATTAATTTTCATCTATCACAGACAGAATACAAACAAATTATAGAAAAATTGGACAACAAAACTGTTGCTTTATTTTTCTTGGTTTGCACATGTTTTGTCCATAAAGTTGCAAGACTTAATAATCTGCTTTGTTCCTTCAAACGATTACATAGTTATAGAGAATAAATATTAGGATTTTCAGTTGGCTTGATCTTTCAAGCCTACAATGCACAATTTGGAATAAGCTGTAATAATGTAAGAAAAATTTAAAACATATTCAGAAACTTATTGTGCACTACACCTTTACTCAGTTAACAAAACATAGGAATGAGCTTTTGATTAAAATTAAGTCAGAGAGTAGGTAATTAATAATAAGCACAAGAGGAAAAAATAGCATAATTTGAAAAACATGTTGAAAGAAACACTTACAATATCCTGACAAATATAGCCAATGGCTTCCAATGTTGATTCTTTCATATGCTCTGTGCTAAGTTGATTTGTAACATTGGCTACTAGCTGAGGAATAAGTTCAGGCCACTGATTCATAGGGATCTCTGCACAGGCGATGCCAGCAACGCACTGTGATGCTGAGCTCGGCCTGTAGGTTTCTGTACCCAAGGTTTGCAAAACCTGTGAATATAAGAGGATCATCATCAGTAGGCAAAATCACAAAGCTGCAATACTGTTAGCACTAAACAATGGACTGCTGTTTTCCTGTATCATTTTTAAAGTTGAGCAAAAATAAAGCATGCCTCCCTGCCTTTTTATTAGAGGTCGTAAGACATATTTTTCTCAACTTGGGAACAAACAAGAGCATAGTGAATTGAAGAAACAGTATTCAACTAAAGATATGTAGTAGCTTTACTACTAAAAACATTTATACTGATAAAAAAGGACTACAAAATAAAATTTTAAATGCTAAGGTTTAACATACATAATTTTTGACTTCTCTGCGAGCATTGGCATCGATTGCAAGCCATCTCTGTTGATGTTGTGCCTTTACATCAGGATCTTTAGATGTCAGAGAGTTCTTGATCTGTAAACCAGCTGCAACTCTTGCAACTTGGCTGTTTCCTGGATTTGCCAGCACTCTGGACAGTTCCACAAGGAAAGTAGGCTGGTAACGAAAAAAAATTCAATAATCAAAACTTGTTATATCTTTTTGATCAGTGCAGACATATAAAACTATGACAATCTAAATCAAAACATGTTTCAATTTTTCAATGATCCAAGTAGCACATCTCATCCACATGTAACCAGGCAACACTAAATTCCTTATGTTTGTATACTACTTACAGGTCTCTATTATAATACTCTGTCCTCTACATCAGAGGTCCCCAACCCTGAGACCACACAAGTCAGCAAAACTCTACCCGCACACATATGGGATCCAGACAGCATATGAAACCACCCAGTCCACAGAAAAAAATGCCCTCTATAGAACCAATCCTGGGTGCCCAAAAGATTGGAGCCACTGCTCTACATCTTTTTTATATATACATCTCTTTTTATTAATATATAAATTCATTTGTATAGAATTAAATTTTGTTTTAAATTGAAGGTATTCTGCATTTGTTTTCAAAGATTTGAACTTTAAAATGATATACAATTATAGGATATAGAAAAGGCTGAGTTTTTAACTTACTGGTAATAATGGTATTGAAATCCAATTGTTGTATATTAATTTAGACCATAGCAGCATACTGAGTTTTTATTAAAGTTCATGGTTAGCAGCAAACTAAGACTATTAAATATGTAACCGATCTGACTGCTGGGCAGGAGGAATAAGATACTTAAATTTTTGCTCTGTTATAAAAGATGGGAAATCTTAGGGCTAGAAATTACTAATACCATTTTTATAGCAAATTACGTAAGAGAAGTATTCATGTGCAAAAATGAGTTCTCAATAAAGAAAATCAGTATGATCATCAAATGATATTTCAGTACTGAAATAAACAAAATATAGGACTGCTTTTCAAAATATATAGCCAAATATAGCAACATATCCCCAGAAGCAATTTGCTACAATATTAAAAGTAAAAAATAAATTTAAAATCCCTCTTTTCTAAGCTATGATGGTCATCAAGTAAATATTATTATCAATGGTTGTAGAAAGCTTGATGAAAACATAAGAGTGATACTAAATTTGGAGTAAGTTTTATTATCATATTAAAAGCAGTTAAGAAGTATAAAATATAGAAAAGAATTACATAATTAAATAATACCTAAAACATATCCATTAATTTTTGATGGAAATAGAAAGTACAGCAAGATATAAACGTTTCATTAAATTTGAAACATTATTTTCTGAAAGATTGATATATTTAAGAAACAGATTTGCCAGGATTTTTAAAGCTTCAAATAAAAGTTATAAAGCAGTAATTCTATTGCTGTATCTTTGGGTCTTTCCTCAGATTTAATAAATTATTTTGTGAAAATGTTTAACCATTTTTCTAGCTTTTCCCAACACAACATTCTTTTCCCAGGGCTTATTCACAAATAATTAAATATAACCAGTCCTTCCTTCCAAAACATGTTATGACTATTATCAACTTCATTTCAATCAGATCACTTTCTTCATACTATTTAATAAAATCCATATTCTTCTTCTTACATCTTGTCCTTTTATCTTCCCCTATAGCATACCCCAAGGATAAACCTTGGACAAATAGTAAGATACTATTTAGATCATGCTAATTGCAGGACCATTATCTCTTCTTTCTTCCCATGCTGATCAATGAATTGAAATAAAAAGCATGGAAAACAGAAAAATTGTACAGAAAAATATAAAAATATGTATGTGGTAATTAAGTAATCTAGGAGTTTTCCTGGACTCACGACTCCTGTTCGAAGAGCAGGTGGCGGTCATGGCCAGGAGGGCCTTTGCGCAACTGCGGGTTGTGCAACAGTTACACCCTTTCCTGGATCAGTGGTCCCTACTCACAGTCACTCATGCCCTGGTCACTTCCCGTCTTGATTATTGCAACGCGCTCGACATGGGGCCGCCCTTGAAGAGCATCCGGAAGCTCGAGTTGGTACAAAATGCAGCAGCCCGCATGGTTTTATGCAGACTCCGGTGTGCACATGTATCATCTTTCCTGCAGGAGCTGCATTGGTTGCCAATTTGCTTCCGGGTGCAATTCAAGGTGCTGGTTGTCACCTTTAAAGTCGTTCATGGCTTGGGTCCATGTTATCTCAGGAAACATCTCTTGCCAGTGACATCTACCCGATCCATTAGAGCGGAGGCAGGGAATGCTGCATGTCCCAACCCTGAGGGAGATACACCTGGTGGAACCTAGAAGAAAGGCCTTCTCTGTAGTGGCTCCATCTCCCTGGAACATCATTCCCCCAGAGATTAGAATGGCCCCCTCATTAATACTATTCCGAAAGGCACTGAAGACCCGCTTTTGCCAGCAGGCCTGGGGAACCCAGAGAGGGATAGAACCCATAAAATGGCTAATGTGTCCGCTGTCGTCGGGGTGGGGGGTGGGAGTTGGTTTTTGTTTTTTTGTTTTTCCAAATTTTGTTCTATTGTACTTTACTAATTTATTTCTTTTTGTTACTTATTGTTTTTATTTTTATTTTTTGTTTTAAATATGATTTTACATTGTGTAAGCTGCCTTGAGTCGCCATGGGCAAATAGGCAGCAATATAAATAAAATGAAATAATAAAATAAGTTAATCAGGGTGCACTTTAAACCTTTTACAGCATAGAGGTAGCAGATTTCATTTTATAATTCCTGCACTGTTTTCCTATCCAATCATAATGTATTTTGTAAATTTGATTTTTTTTAACATGGATATAATCTCTGGATTAAAAGACAAGGAATGTAATTGTGAAGTTTATCTTTTTCTTACGAAGATAAGTAACAAGCCATGAAGAGTAAGCAACTTGTCAAGATCCCAAACCTTAATTTAGCAGTCTGTTATGCAGAGAGTAAATAAGTGTTATAGCACTTTTTCACAGTTTTATTTCAAAACTGTTCTGCTACCAAGGAACAAAAGTGAGAATTGCACCTTAACAAGTCAAAGCACATTCTGAAATTAATATCTACCAAAGAAAGGGGTGAAATAAATGTTTATCTGTTCCCTATTCTTTTCTATGAATCTCATACATGATTATTCATCTCAAGACACAATGTAATGAAAAAATAGGATAAGCATAATAGTGGAACACTTAATCAATATTTCAGCGTTTACTTTACAAAATATTGTTCTCCAGAAATCTTTATAACCCCAGTCTATCTTAAATTCATATTTATTATAAAATAATCTCTAATCCAAGACATTACAATATCAATCAATATAGTTTTTCTGTTTTCTGATCAAGGCTGATTCTTAATTGAGGATGTCATTTGAAAACATATATTCAAATATGTTTATTTTTTTAGGCCTCACAGAAAGAGTTTGACCCTGCTGGCCAGAAATAGGAACTGTTGTCTAGGACTTCTAGAGGGCATAAGTTTGAAGAAAAAAAACAGATACTTTGCACAGTTATTGGAACTGAACCATGGAAATTAAATTTTCAAATCTCAGTTTAGCCACAAAGAATCCTACCTGGCCTAGGCCCATTAATTGCTCCCAATATATTTTGAAGAGCTACTATAAATATATGCATTTTCTTTTAAAGGGATACATTTTCTTTTAAAAGGTGGACTGAATACAAAGTTGATCTCTTTTTCAAAATTTGATGCCAGCACCTTAAGAATCTATGGATGTTTTGCATCTTTCTGAACAACCTGAGAAGTGTATCTTTGTTGATAATTCACATTATTTAAAATGTGTGATTTTCACAAAGAAGGATATATTTCACATAGTAAAAATTAATTTCACATTTGGCTAGTAACATTATCACCAATACAATTTAGTTATTTGATACAGACTCTCTGAAACACAACAATCTAACTGTAAAAAGAACCCTGCCTATCAACCAGCGAATAGTATGAATAATACTGAGACAGCTTGGTCTGGTGGTTAAGCCACCAGGATAAAAAATGGGAGTTTGTTAGTTCTAGCACTGCCTTAGCATGAAAGCCTGCTGTGTAAACTTGAACCAGTCACTCTCAGCCCAATTCACTTCATAGAGTTGTTGTGTAGAAAATTGTTCAGTAGTTGATTTTTAACTGATCACATATTCTAGAGATAAGTTTTCAGACTATAAGATTGAGGCTTGTTTACTAAATTTATTTTATTTCATTGGCAATGTTGGCAGAGTACATATATTATCAGCAATTGATGTCTTAGTTTTATACAGGTACTTAGAACATTTTCTTTTTCTTAACACTAAAATTGCAAATCAACTAATTTTTAAAGGGTTAGGGTTACACTTTCTCGGCACTGCAATAAGTAAATCTATGACAATTGTACATTTATTACTGAACAGCTTATTACTTTCATTGCTAATGCAATAATTAATATTAACACTTTTATATAGTATGATTGTTTTTTTCCCTAAAAACCTACACAAAAATTCTGGAATACTTTCATAGGATATTTGTTTATTTGTATACCACCTTTATTATTTTTACAAATAACTTCAAGACAGAGCATGCTGCCTTTCTCTTATTCTCTTTGGATGAATGCCATGCAAAAAATTCATCCCCAATAGTTTTGATACTACACTATTTTATTATCTTCTACTTCTTTCTTTTTTAATTATCAACTGCAAAGGCTCAGTATCATAATCAATTACACTTAATTTTTATTCCTATTCTCGTTTAAGGCTTTACAATGAATATATCTTAATTGTGATTCAGTAAATGTAATAGTTACCTAAATAGCTTCCTTATAAATTGTGAATTAGACTTAATTCACTGTTCAGGACTAGACTTATAATACATTATTCTGGTACTTTTATCAACTAATGGGTGAAATGCTTAGTACTTTCATTTGGCTACTAATATTGCTCTGAATCAATCCTTTCCAAAATAGGGATGAATGAGGTATTTCACAAATAATCTGTATTATAATAATCTGTATTCAGAGACTGAAACAGGTCAAGTCTGTTTTCAAACTAAATAACAAATAATTGTGTGAGTCTAGCAAAACGCCTGGTAAAAAAAATATTCACATCTATGAAAAACACTACAAAAACACGAGGAAATGAACAAAAATGGAAGAGCAGGAAAAGTATAGAAAATGGGGGACGATCCGCAGGCAGAACAAGAGAATCTTTAGACTAGGGAAGAAGAAAAAAACGAAACCTAGTAGGCCTGATTATGAGCTCAACGGCTCTTTCAAGACAACCTCCTGCGCACTCCCTTAGCTGACGATACACGCCGGCTTCCCCACATGGCCGGCCCCGCAGGCCTAATCTAACCACCCTCCCCCTCACTTTCCCTCCATGCATGCAGCGCGGTAGGTCCAAGCTGCCCTCCCCTTCCTTTTCCCTCCCGCGGGTCAGGATCGCGTTTATGATTGGATGGCGCGACTCTCGAGAGCTTTGCCATTGGCTGCTTCATGCTTGCCTCCCCCCACACCCGCGAGAGAGAGAGAGAGAAGAAAAAGCCTACGGTTAGGCTGCGCCCCTCTAAGGCGGCTCGGCCTGCTCTGATCTGTGTCTTTTTACACAGGGAAAATATTCCACTTTCGCAAACCCCACCCAAACTCAGTTCAACTCTTGCGTTTTTCCTTACCAGGTTCTCGATGGCTGCCTGCTCCAGGAACTTCTGAGCCGCTTCAAGCTCGGTGCAGTCTGCAGAAGATGGTTGGGGGGGGGGGGAGAAAAATGCATCTAGGAGTGTCAGTGGGGACCCTAAAGCTCAATTTCAACCCAACAGTAGCACCCGGATCCCCTCGCTTTTTTCCAGCAATCGCTCTTCTTTCTGCATTTTCACTGCATTCTGAATATGAAGGTTTTCAACACCTCTCGGAGCCCCCACCAAAGACAGAGGTCCCGGACGCATCATGGTTCTTTCTACTCAAACTTCATTTTCCATCAATCAGTACCGTACAGAAGTTGGGGTTCAAATGAGAAACGCCTCTTAGGGAACGTTACAAGTACAGTATAACCGTAACCTCACTCCTCCACAGCTAATAATTTTGTTTGTATGATGTTTTATTCATGTTGAGTATTAATGATCGCATGACTTCTATAGATGCTGTATGCTAAATAAAAATTAAAAACTTATTCACAAGGAATGCCTTTTTAAAGATTTCGGGGAGAAATGCATTAGAGGTTTTTTTAAAAAACACCAGTCCGTCTCTAGCCCCATTGTCACAACTCTCCCAATTATCATAGCCGATCTCGGCCCAGAGATTTTGGCCTACACCGGACCTGAACTAACAGATAAATATCGGGCCTCAACCTCATTGCGGACGCGGCTTTCAGTGCCACCCTACCTTAAACCTCATGGGGGCATTGGTATTACGGTTGACCCGAGGTGAGGCCATCGCCTATTCTCCCGGCAGCTTCCGTCTCCCCATGTTCCCCAGCGCATCTAAGCAGCCGCTCTCGGACGAGAAGACTTACCCCACAGTCATATGCTAAGGAATCCCCACCCCACCCTTAACCCATATGCCACGCAAAGCACTCTCATTCCCACCCTCAAGACCCTTTCCTCCTATACCATTCAGCGAATTCATTAACTTGCGTCCAAAGCTACCTTCTTCCATACACGTGCACCATTACCCTCGTGTTCTGACCCTACTAATATGTATGTGTGTGTGTGTGTATGTGTCCGAGCCAGTCTAACTAGGGGATTCGCAATCCCCCCCCCCCCATCGCACAAATGATAAAATTCACGCTTGCCCCTCCTTTTCCCTCCAACCACGGGGCCCAAAGCAAGCCTTTTTCTTTTATCCCCAAGGCCAGAGACGGAAGCCGACTCTTCCAACGGCCCCGAATCCTCAAAGGGAGGGTAGCTGCTTCCTCCTTTACCCCTTTTCCCACACCTTCTCCCTTAAACCATTTCCTCCCTTCAAACAACGGCTAACGCCTTCCCCACAGCCACATATACGCTATGCCTAGATGCCCTTCCCTGCCCCCAATCCCCCCCCCCCTCTTGAAGAGGGGAGATGTTTTCAATCCTACCCGTTCCTCCCTCTGCAGCACATCTAGAAACAAGGGAAGCGGGGAAAGGGGGGGGGGGGGCTGTAGGAGTTTCTTTCTCCTTTACCTGGGGAAACCGTCTTCTCCAAAATCGTAATGAGCTCCATGGTGTTGGCGGCGGCGGTGAGGTGAAGCTAGGAAGGAAAGGGGGAAAGGGAAAAGGATCGGAGTCGGTGATCGCCGCCGCTGCGCCCTCCGCCTGCCCGCTCAGTCGGCCGGTCGGTCTCCCTTCGCGCGCTCTTCACTTCTCCCTCAGCTGCGGGGCGGCCGCACCCCCGGCGGAAGCGACTGGAGTCTCCCCTACAACTTCCCCTCCCCCTCCTCATACACAACTCCTTCTGGCGGCGGAAGGAGGGGAGAAAAAAGGAAGAGGGGAGGAGAAAGCGCGCGCTCTCTCGCTCTCTCTCTCTCTCTCTAAACGACCTAAAATGAAGCTTTCCAGCGAGTGCGACTCAGACAAGCGGGGGAGGGAGGAAATTAAAACACAAATCAACGTGCCTTCCCGCAGCCACCCTGTTAGGGACGCTAATTCATTGCCCTGCTTTCTGGCCGATTAACTGGGCAGGCCTGCCAGGCCTTAAGTCTGCCTTCAGGCACGTAACGTTCGTGCGTATGCAGCGTGCGCACGCAAGCCAATTCTTGCCAAGGCGCATGAATATCTCCACTTTTCAACCGGCCAACGCCCGCCTTCCCGCCTTCCCACGCTGATTGGCCATTATGGCTCGCACGTCATGAGGCTGACAGGTCGAAAAGAACGCACGGTTTCAAAAACTTTGTATTTAAAATAAGCTACGTAGGGTTAATTAAACCAGAAAGCCTATGCCCTTATATTAGGGAAGAGATCAAAGTATTAGGGATTTATGTCTCAGTACACAAATATAGTGAAGCATTTCTAGCTTTTTCTTGATTTATAGTGAACGAAAACCTTCACCTGTTTTGCAAATATGTAATACTAGTAATACTATTTTATATTGCCTGGTGTTCATATTACTCTGCAAAGTATGCGATAGTTTGAGTTTTAGCGATATTGCCTTTCAGAAACAAAGGGCTGATTTGAGTTCTTCAGAATATAACCTAGACCAAAATACCTAGATTTAATGCAGATGTAGATTATAGTTAGCAGAAATTATTCAAGAATAAAGAATGTTGCGCGCGCGGTTCTGTTCAGTAAACACCCAGGATTGTTCTCATGCAAATTGTGTTGGATAGGAAACACATCAGTTACAAGATAAATTGTAGATCCGTTGTGCTCTCTGAGCTTGCTTGCTCCACTCCCCAATCCCTTCTACAGTAGCAACACAGATGTTACTGTTATGAACTAATAAAAACTATTTAATAAAACTTATCAACCGCATGATAAGCAGGCTTGTAATCCTGCACCTTTGATTGGCCCATGGATAGCAAACAGGAATTGGTCCTTACGGAGCAGCCTGATTGGCTATTAGTTGAACATCTCTCATTGGGCAAAAGTTAAGCATTTGGACACAAGTCATTGGTTAACGGGTCAGCAGCCAGCTCTATAAAAGAGCTGCTGCTGCCCAAGGTTTTTACGCTCTGTTCCTAATCCTTAATAAAGAGTTGAAGTTCACTTGTTCTCTGACTCGTCTCCGTTCCTTGCACCCATGCCCAGAATCTAACACTGGCGACGAGGATGGGATGCGGAGACGATAGAGCTGACTGAACACTAAAGAGCGCCAAACAGAGCACGTGGCTGAACGCGCACCAACAACGGCAATATGGCCAGCGGTGCTATACCACCCGCTCCATTTGACCCGGCAAACGAAGACTGGGACTCGTATATGGATCAATTCCAAATGTTTCTGGAGACCAATAATTTAAAGGACGCTACAACCGGCAAGAAACGAGCAATATTCCTGACCCATTGCGGGCCGGCCATATTTAAGATGGCGAAATCACTTGCAAAACCGGCTGAGGTGAAATCGATGGATTGGGACACCCTCGCGCCCCTCCTACGGGCCCACTATGCACTCACAGTGCCAACACTTGTCCGAAGGCACGAATTTTACCAGAGGGACCAACGGAAAAGCGAAAGTCTTGCAGACTACATCGCTGACCTCCGGAACTTGGGAGGCCTCTGTGGGTTTTCCAACCTCGAAGAAGCTTTGCGAGACCGCATAGTTCTGGGATTAGATGACCAGACGGTACAGAGCAAGATCATGGCCAAAGGGGACATCGATCTTGCCGATGCCATCGCAGATGCTACCGCAGCAGAAGCAACCAGGAAGTCGGCCGCTCAAATGCGCCGCACCAACGCACCGCTCCGTCAACTCGCGAATGACACCTCGCCTCGCCCTGAGAGGCACTCAACAACGGCGCACCATGAAGACCTGGAATCCCCATCAGAAAGTGATGAGGAAGAGGTCAACCGACTCCGGTCCGAACGAGACCAACAAAACCAACGATTCCCGCGACAATGCGCGGGTTGTGGGGCAAACCACTCACGATCCGATTGCAAATTCCTCGACGCACTCTGCCGTTCCTGTGGGAAAAGAGGCCACATTGCAAAGGTCTGCAGAAGCAAGCGAGGATCCAGTCCAAACTGCGGTCAGTCTTCGGGATTCGCTCCTGCGAATCGAAACCACCAGAACCACCAATGGAACAACCACTCCTACAGAAATCAAACACCTGCCACTTCAACGAGACGAGAAGAGGCACACCAAACCATTACCATCGGCCACGCTACATCCTTAGATGCAAGAAAGATCCAAGTGAAGGTCGCCATCGAGAACCAACCATGCGTGATGGAAGTCGACTTGGGGTCGTCTCTCTCAATGGTTTCCTGGAAGACCTTCAAACAACTAATCCCGGCCATCCGTCGTCAGGACCTCAGCCCCCAAAGGATCATACTCAAGGATTACCAGGGCAACAGAATCCCGGTCGTCGGTTCCAGCCAAGTCCAAGTCTCCTTCAAGAATCGTATTGCATCACTACCGCTGACCGTTGTCGACCGTGACCGGCCTAGCTTATTAGGCCTACAATGGTTCGCCCCACTCGGGATCGAGGTAGCCGGCGTCCACCGAGCTGAGAGCAACGACTGGGAGGAGTCTCTCGTCCAAGAATTCCAGGACGTTTTTTCAGACGAGCTAGGCAAGTACAAGGGGACCCCAATATGGTTTAACCTCAATCCTGAAGTAGCTCCCATCCACCTTAAGCCTCGTCGGGTGCCTTTTGCACTTAAACCAAAGATCGACGAGCAACTCAATAAATTAATAGCCCAGGGCGTTTTAGAACCAACCGACCACGCCCGTTGGGAATCCCCAATTGTAACACCCATTAAACCAGATGGATCGTTAAGAATTTGTGGGGACTATCGGGCCACTTTGAACCACGCACTTCAGCAGAGTGCTTACCCGGTGCCGGTGGTTCAACACCTTCTCCACTCCCTGGGTGGTGGGAAGATATTCACTAAATTGGATTTAGCACAAGCGTACCAACAGTTGCCCGTAGATGCGGAAACTGCGGAAGCACAAACTATCGTTACGCATAGAGGCGCTTTTAAGTGCAATAGACTCCAATTCGGAGTGAGCGTAGCTCCGGGAATTTTTCAAAGTTTAATGGAGAGACTCTTACAAGGAATAAAAGGGGTTGTGCCATATTTTGATGATGTTTTAATTGCCGCCCCTAATAGAGACATCTTAGAAAAGCGTCTCAGAATGGTTCTAAGGAAATTTAAAGACGCCGGCCTGAAGGTTAAAAAAAAAAAATGTCAACTGTGTACTGAGAGGGTGGAGTTCCTGGGATACCTTCTCGATAGTCAAGGAATCCATCCCACTGATAACAAGCTAAAAGCGATTAAAAACGCCCCAGCGCCTAAAAATAGAACAGACCTCCAAGCCTTTCTGGGGCTCATTAACTTCTACAACATTTTCTTGCCCCAGAAGGCGACTGTAGCGGAGCCCTTACACAGACTTCTTGATAAAAGAGCAACCTGGGTCTGGGGACATCGAGAGGAACGCGCCTTCCAACAAGTGAAAGACTTACTAACCTCCGACGCTGTTTTGATGCAGTACAACGAGACTTTACCCTTAACTATTACTTGCAACGCTTCACCGTTTGGAGTGGGAGCAATCTTAAGCCATGTACTACCAAACGGAAATGAAGCACCTATTGCGTTTTTCTCACGAACATTATCAAAGGCTGAAAGGAACTATAGCCAACTCGATAAAGAGGCCCTTGCTGTTGTGTCTGCTGTGAAGCGCTTTCACGAATACGTGTATGGACGAGCATTTACGATAGTCACAGATCACAAACCATTGCTTGGTATTATAGCGGGAGACAAGCCAACCCCCTATATATTATCGCCAAGAATGACTCGTTGGTCTGAGTTCCTAGCTGCCTACAATTATCTGTTGCAACATCGCCCGGGGAAAGCCATTCCCCACGCTGATGCGTTAAGCCATTCCCCACTTCCGGAAACCGTCAACGACCCAGCTCCAACCCTCACGACGCTCCAAATCGAGGCGCTGCACTCGCCACCACTAACAGCAAGAGACATCGCCATTGAGACGAAACGGGATCCTGTCCTGGCACGAGTTCTCAGCTGGGTCGAACGAGGATGGCCAGTTGACCAACTCCATGACAATTTCGCACCATTCAAGAATCAGCAAACAGAGCTTTTCTCCCAGAGAGGCTGCGTTCTCTGGGGGGATAGAGTAGTCGTCCCAGAGAGGCTACAACAGACAGTTTTAAAAGTATTACACGAGGGACATCCTGGCATCGTGCGCATGAAGGCGCTCACCCGAAGCTACGCGTGGTGGCCGGGCATCGATAAGCAGATCGCAGCCTGGGTAACCACGTGCCAGAAGTGCCAAGACGTTAGCAATGCCCCACCTAAAGCGACGCCAACTGAGTGGGAAACCCCTCGGGGTCCGTGGTCCCGTATCCACGTTGATTTTGCGGGATCCACCAAAGGACACACGTTTTTATTAACAGTTGACGCCTATTCAAACTGGCTAGAAATCCAGAAGATGAAGACAACCACAACAGAGTCAGTCATTAATAAACTGAATAAATTATTCACAACGCATGGGTTACCAGTCGTTTTAGTTTCCGATAACGGGCCCCAGTTCACTGCCCTAGCTTTTGAACAGTACCTAGCGGACCGGGGCATCCGCCACGTGCTCACCTCGCCAGCGCACCCTGCGGCTAACGGAAGGGCGGAGCGAATGGTACAATTCGTCAAAAAAACCTTACATAAAATGGACTATGGGGACATCGACGACAAGCTCAACCGAATACTCCTGCTCCAACA